ACTTGCGGCCTTTCAACATCGAAAATCTATACTATTCTGAAGAAGCAGGAAGAAATTAAGAAACCTGATGTAGCCAAAGGAATTATCGTTGCTTCCAAGCACCATAAAAGTACTCCTAGATGTTGAGAAGCTGTTGTTGGTGTGGATTAATGAGAAGGAGTTAAAATGTTGGTAACAAAGTTAAACTATGGTTATATTATTTACCAGTGTTATTTATTAGGAAAAATTGACTTGATATTAAAATGTTGATATTTTTTTGGGGTGTGGAACGGGTTAACTGAATTTCCATTATTTTCAATGGGGAAGCTTGTTTCTAGATACGAGAAATTCGCTATACCAGTTGAATGCTGGAACGAATTAAACTCGTATCTCAAGGTTCCACTGTAGATATGTAAGCATGTGTATATGCATGTATGCGCATATATGTGTATGAGTATACACATACATACATAAAGAATATACACATGCACACACGAGCACCTACATTTAAAAATGCATGCATATAAACACACATTTCTGAATCTGGTCCTGATAACAGAAGAATACCTACATGAATCATAGGATTTACATTAATCAGTTTTATTAGAATTCTTAAATGCAGAGAATTTCATCTTCACTATCCGAAAATTCAGTTTCATTTCCAGCTGAAACTATATCAGGACAATCTCATTTATATTATTTCCCTCTAACAACTGAACATTTTTAAAACCTTTTCTATTCCATGGAAAACTAATGCTACATTAAACATACATTTTCTAAATCTGAAAATTTTAAGTTAGCTTAGAAACTGTAATCATTCTTAAAAAAGTTTGATTTATGCAGATGTTAGCAATAAAATTACTTTCCTGTGAAAAAGTAATATGGCATTGAACAACATGATTTTACACATCAAGATATACTGAGTGAAAATTCCTGAAATGTTTTATTTCTTGGTATCTCACTATGCAAGAATTGTATAAATAAGACTACCTCCCTTTTTTAAAAAAAAAAAAATGTTTAGTAAATACTATGAAGAAAATTGGTTACATTATTTACAGTTCATAATTAATAGAAAATAAATCATTTCTTAGCTTATCAGAATTTATTTTTATCACATTCATAAACAGTACTAATTTAAACAAACATACCATTATGATTTCAATAACTATGAAATAGAAAATCCAAATCTGCATCTTTGATGGTCTAGTAGATTGGACGTCTCGTTTACTACAATTCAGCAGGGTGCTGACTCCCCAGACTGTAATATATATATATATTAATTTACAAGGGAAAAAGCAACAAAAATATAAACAATTTCTTGGTTTTATATAAGCATTTCTGCACATTTACAATTTTCAATTTTTTTAACTATCTAGTTATATCAAAATACATGATTTAGTAAAATATAATTCAAATAATTTAAGGTATTTTAGATCAAATACTAATTTTCAATAAATTTTTTCATGCAAGTCTAATAATCAACATAACTATCAAGTTTTGACTTCGAAAATTATGTTTAGAGAAACTTGAAGCTGCAGTAAATAGTAATAAATTTATTCAAAACTGAAAGTAAAGCATTCTTACTTTATTTTCTTTCTTTAATTTCTATGGCAGATCTTTTAAAAACAACAAAATCAAAAATCAAACAAAAAAAGAAATGATTTTAATGCATTCATGAAAGGAAATTTAGAACTTTTATTAGAACTTACTTATGATTTATTATTGAAAACTGAAATTTCATTTTCATAATATAATTACAAAAATTCATTAAACAAACAAAAAAAATGCATTCATGAAAGGACTTATTATATTATTCATGAAAGGATATATTTCAGTAATTACAAGTGCATAAAATTCAGTATAGATTTGGAACAAAGTACCTGTGTTTTCTATGGCATAAAATTTCCTTTTTAATAGCACAATATCTTTGAGTTAAAGATTATATATTAAAGCAAATTTATAAAAAACTAAATTCAAAAATAAGAAATTAAATTATTTTTAGGGAAAACACTAAGCAAATAAAAAATTTTGAATTTCATAAATAAATGAAAGTTACATGCTTTATTTTTTGGCATAAGGTAGATAATATTTCCAGAACAGATTTCTGAACAATTAGTCATGTTAATATTGCCTTTCTTTTTCCATTAAAAGCTATTTCCTGCTTAATTACAGTATGCTTTAAGATAAATATTAAAACGTTTGAGTAAAAATAATATAACTATAAAAAGGTGAGACACATACAAACAGGAGTGACACAAACAGTAAGAAACAGACTAGTGCAAATTTTTTTCAATTTATTGATTTGGTATTCTATGTCATTAACAGTACCAAATCCTGAAAATGAATCATTAGGCACGTACACAAAAGAACAACACATGGAAAATCACATTTCCTACACAGACGCTATTTATAAAATTTTATATAGGTGAAGAAAGTACGAGTATTAAACACTGAAAATATAAAATATTCACTTACTTTCTTCAAATAATTAGTAACATTCGATGGATTCAGTCACAAACGCCAATCCACGAACAAACAGTATTCTTTGCGACTTTACCATTCTTTTCGACCGCCATTGCTGACTTCACAAATATCCCGCCACAACCGGAAGTAGAAAGTGTCTGCTTTGCCATTGGTCAGTGAACAAGAATTGCAACGCTTTTTTTTTTTTTTTATATATAATTAAACATATTAAGAAAGCCTCTAAATTAGCATATGAAATAAACTTACTTTTGCATTATATAAATTTATATTCACAGCATCTCTGTATTAAGGTAATAATTAAATTTTTCTACGAAAAATAGAAATGTCTGTGTATGCGCATGCTCAGTGTATAATCGTAAATCCGGTTAATTTTTATAAGTTAGCGTAAAATTAACTATGCAAATTTTGAGTTCATTTAACTGGACCCTTGTACTTATTCTGTAGATCTCCATATTAAGAATGTCTTTAACTGTTTCAGGAAAAATATAAAATATAATATAATTATTTATTTACATTATTTATTTATTTTTTCCTCATATAAAAATTATTAAAAAAATCGCTATATCATTTTTCCCGTACATTAAACAAAATTAAAAAAATTTAGCCTCATATGATTTTTATAACAAAGATTAAAGGAACTGAAATATATGTAAAATATCAGGATTCAGCTTGCAATTTCGTAGAGTTATTATTATTATTATTAAATAAAATATTAGTATATCTTTGATTATAATTAATGATCCTTTGGTCTACATTAAACTATTGTTCAAGAAGTTAAACGTTTTCGAGCATCTTCTGCTGTATTTATTATTCTATTCCTCGACATGAAAGATTTGCTAGTCTTATTCCAATTTAATTGCCCACATTTGCTAAATAAAATAAGGCGAGTATTGTACCAAACTCAGTAAGTACACAAATTTAATATACAGCTTATTCCAGTTAAATGGGTAATAGGATTTTCATAAAAGAAATTAAATTGTGTAAATTAATGTAAGTGTTGATATGAATAAAAATAACAAATTTGATATAAGAAAATAAATAAGTTATTTTGAAGATCTTTAAATTAAGAAAATATAATTTTTTGCAAAAATGCACGTAAAGATTTAGCTCACATGTTAAAATTTATAGAAAAATTTTAGCCTCATATATGAATGCCCCTTTTTTCATGTTCGTGGAAAAGGAAAACAAAGTGAAATGCCAAAAATGCACTAAATATTTTGAATTAATAAACTTCATTTTCAATCTTTTTAGACTTCGTATAATATCCGTAAAAGTGACGAATGAAATATACCATAAAGGCAGTAGTTTCTTTCAGAACATTCGGATTCGTATAATATGCGTAAAAGTGACGAATAAAATATACCATTATGGCGGTAGTTTTTTCAGTACATTCGGATTCATATAATTTTCGTAAAAATAACGTGTGGAAAATAACGATAAAGAGTCAACAGTAACTTCAGCCTTTTTCATTCGTATAAATTTCGTAAAAGTAACGTGCAAAAAATACCATACCCTTATTTCACCAAAATTTATACGTATATTTTTGCAGACGTGCTGCCTGGGTGTATTCTGTGTGATTTTAGTTTCAGTTAAATGTAGCTTGATGTCAGTTCAGATTTTACTTGTGTAGCAGTTTTCCCTCCACTGTCAGGAAAAGTCTTATTATAGGAAAATTTTATGAAAACCAAGGAGAATATATATAGAATTATTAATAATCCATTAAGTTAATGATTTTATTGCTAATTCTTGTTGCTTAATTATATATTTAGTGACTTTCTTCTCCCTTTCCCTGACCTCAATAGTAGGTCTGTTGTATCCATTGCTCCTCTGTCCATATGTACATTTTCCTGAAATCAATACAATAATTATGCTTATGAAGGAAGGCACTGTGTTGTATTCTGAAATGGCTTCTCATTTGTCATTAATATTTATATCAGACAATAGTTGAAATTAGTTATTTGCTGTTGCATGTGTTTCTGTTACTTCCTTGAATTAAGAATCTCATATTTTCTAAACTTGTGAATTAGTTTGGACAGCAGTCTTTAGAACCTATCTACCAATGGAAACTGTTTTCACGAAATTTTCTATTTTATTTCAAGAAGCTTTATAATTAGAAATATATGCCTAAATCATTATTTAAGGAAATGGATCCTATATCCATATTTCCAAATATACTGTTATAACACTGGCTGTTCTCATACAGAATGCAAGGAAAACACATTGTAAGCTGGCTCACCTTAAATCTGTTGTATATTTATCATTCCATGTATCATGATAATTGTTTACTTTGCATAGAGTGTATTAATTTTTTTTTTTTTTTTTTTTCAATTTTATGTAAACTGTGAATTGTTGGGAGAGAAATCTTCAGGGATGTTCTTATCTCCTAATTAAAATTGAATAATAATTTTTCTCATAAAATAAAAAGCAACTACTTATGTTGTCTATTAACAGTTCCTTTTGGAATGCAAATTCCTAATCTAGTTAAATGGTTTCTGATTTGTTACTTCACTATGTAATTATTTTCCCCTCCCCTTCAGGAAACAAATGGAAATACAAAAAATACGCAACAAAATGAAAAGGAAAGTAGACACAAAAGCCAGTAAAGGAAGGCGATTAAGGTAATTTATATGAATCACTACATTTCTTTCCAGCTGTTTAAGTCTTGCACCCTTAATTGCCAAAGGAAAAATGTTATTTTTAAAGTATTTCTGCGAGTCTGAACTGAAAGATGCTAAATTGAGGAGTTGCTATAAATTCCATATGATATCTAATTAAAAAATAATTTCATTTAATTTATTTAGTTTTTTTTTTTTTTTCAATAATGTTTTTTAATGGCTATATAATTTTGTGTAGTGTTAAATTTTTCTTCTTTTTGTCATATACATGTTTCCTTTTGTTTTAAAAATGTTATTTCTTGAAAGAAGTAATGTAGCTCAATGTAACTTTATTTATATATAATTTAAAAAGCATCATAAAAGTCCTGAATAATAGTTTATTTTTGGTTTTCCTTGAAGATAAACTACTTTGGCATTAAGTGCTTTCTGCGGATTTAAGATGGCACAAAGTAACTATTTTGTGCCATCTTAAATCTGCAGAAATTGAGTATTGTATCAGTGTCTTATAGTTTCTTTTGAATAAGAATGTCAAGTTCTTTCTAGAAAACTTTTTACCTTATTACAGCAATTTATCATTCAGGAAACTATTCAGTGCTTAAAATTTAATTTTCCCTTATCTGTTATTTAGCAAGGCCATTATCAATTGTCAAATATTAGCCAAATTTTGAATCTTTGTTTTCTAAATTAATGTCAGTCACCTCCATTTGTTGGGAAATGCTGGAAGAAAGAAATTTTATACAAAAGAGACTGGTTTTATGCTGACTATAGCATTTCCGTATTTATTTTGTAGTGAGAAATTAGTTAAAATTGTTTTTCTCTGTAGCAAAATACTTGAAATCAAATAATATCTTAAAGTTATCCAGAACGTCAGTTTATCTGAGTAGAAGATTTCATTGTATGATCTGAATACTTTATCCAGAGGATCTCGGTTAAACTTATAAACAAGTGTAATGGCCTAAATGTGTATGATATAATAAGTATTTTGAATTTATCTTATATTAAAAAACACTGTAAAACTAGGTTGTCAATCAGATGTGTCATATTTGAACACAATTTTTGTATTAATTACAAATATGTTTAAAAATAAAAAATAATTGCATTTCACTTAACATACATTCATTTTGAAGTTTATGAGAAGAATTCATTAGAAGTATTCATTCATCTTGAAGAATATAAAAATTGTTTTATAAAGAACAATATTAGTTGACATTAATGTATTTTTCCCAAAACATGTTCATCTATTTTAGAACCTGATTATTTATATTGTCAACTGATTATTTACATTGCTCAACCTACTTCAGGGGAAATTTTTATTTCGCTTTTAGACTAGAGAAAAATACTTTAAATTTTGCTTTTTGCATATCACAAATTATTAATGAGACCTCATAAAGCATCTTTAAAATTTTTGTTAATAAAATGAGATATATGGCATTATGTATTACATAAATGTTGAAATCTCCAGGTCACAAATATGTATATCTGTATAATTTTGATACCCAAATCCTGTAAACATAATTCAGATATTTTGTTTAGGTAAAAAGAAAGAAAAATCCCATCCATATTTTGATATTTTAATAATTTAAAAAAAGAGAGAGAGAGAAAATTTTCATTCATAAAACTCTTAAACATTAGAACAGGGGAAAAACTTTAAATCAACTGAAATGAAGTACCATTTAATTATTGAAGGATTATCTACAGCTATACCCTATACATCTAAATCTATAATGTTATTTATTTTGAGATTTTTTGACATTTCCCTCACACTTTTAGGTAAAAAATCTTTCAGAGAGGAAGGTAGAAGAATATATATATAAATTTGTTTGCATATCTTAAAATTTTGTATTTTATTTATTATAGGTACGATGTTCATCCGAAGCTTGCAAATTTTATGGCTTCAATTCAGACAACTAAAGTATCTGATGAAACTAGGTCTGTCTAAAATTTTTTGTATAATTTTTACAAGCACAATTTCATTGGTATTTTTTTTTTCTAAATTTGCTTTTGTATTTATAATTGTATTTTAATTACATGTAATTTTTAGTTTTTTAAAAAAGATAATCATAACTTTTGCAAACTGTGTATACAGTTCTACATAACAAAATGAAGCATATATTAGTGACAGTGTTACTTGGCCAAACTTAAAAACCGCATTAGAATTGAGGAAAACTGAAGAGTGATAAGTTGATTTACCTAGAGGCACAAATAGATCTTTTTCTGTACGAGTTAATTCTTTCATTTCGCCCCCCCCGTCCTATACTAAGTGGCGTCCCCCAAGGGTCACTTTTAGGCCCAATTTTGTTCAACATTTTCATAAATAACATACCAAAATCACCTAGTATCACTCTTGCACTTTATGCAGATGATACGGCCATCCTAGCTCAAAACAAACGCCTTGAAAACTTGGTTCCACAATCATTCAGAGATATCTCTCTAGCCTTGAGCACTGGCTCATCACTTGGAAAATAAAATTAATGTTGCTAAATGTGCTGCTATGATATTCAAACGTAGCCCCCTCCCGTACCCTTCCATTAATATTAAAGTTCTTTCGACGACTATGTTCCCTGGTCAAATTCTTACAAGTACCTAGGAGTTGTACTTGATTCAAAATTAACCTGGCGCCTTCACATTGAAAATGTTCTCAATAAAGCAAAAGGTGCTAGAGCCCAACTTTACCCATCTTTTAGCTCGAAAGAGCCAATCTGTCAATTAAAAACAAAATTCCTTCTCTATACATCAATTATAAGACCTGTCTTTATGTATGCATGTACAATCTGGGGTACTGCTGCAAAAACTCATGTGAAAAAACTTCAATCTTTTCAAAGTAAGACCTTACGTATGGCCCTTAATGCAGCCTGGTACGTCCGTACAGATGTGATTCATTCGGACCTTAACATTAAACCTGTTGATTACTATATTAAAAAACTTAGTCAAAATTTATTCCTCAAAATTGAACAGATTGATAACCGAGCACTCCAGCAGATTCCAGCATACGATCCTGCTATTCGCAGCTCACAGAAGAGACCGAGAGCCATGACTGGCCGAGAGTTCGGCATCTACCCTCCATCCAAAAGGGCAAGACACGCCCTCTCAACTTCTATTCCAGCTCCCGCGCCATGAGGGAAGAACGTCTCTTCAACGAGCTGCCATATAATTGCTTAAAACATCATCAGCACCAGCAATTCAAGATCTTCAAGCAAAGTTATCAATCTGTTTACTTAAGAATCACATCTCCTGCAGATTCTCAATCTGCCTAAGAATATTTTCACCGCGTTCATTTATTATTTGCACTATCCTACACAAGCCACGGCCAATGAGCCTATTAATCGTAAACTCTTTCCTATCCGCTTTTTGCTTTAGTGTTTGTATCGTATATTAAAAAATTATAAAAACCAAAAAAAAGTATAAAATATAAAAGTACAAAAAAATTATAAAAACCTAAAAACTTATAAAAAAATTATGATATTTAAGTTTTTATTTTCTTATCCCTATCCCTAAACTTTCCCGAGCCTATGGCTCCCTCTATTGAGCATCAAGTAACTCACTTATGCAAAATTTTTCCTATTTCTGCTCACTATTAGTAATTCTGATGTGGAGGTACATGGTTTTGAACCATAGGCACTCCGAAACTTGCAAATCATTGGCATTGGCATTACCTAGAGACACAACTTGATATTTATAGCATTTTAAAACCAGTTATACAGTTCTTGAATGGGGGAAAAAAATCATTTCAAAATTTTATACGTTGTACTAGACATTCATTTTCCTACCTAGCATTTTCAACCTAGTTACCAAGTTTTTTTTTTTTTTTTTTTTCATAATTCTGATTATGATTGACAACTAATTTTAATAATAGTAAACTAAAAAAGAAAGAAGACATAGTTATCTTAATAATTATAATAATATTTTTCATTTAAATTAAGAATAATGCAGTGTTTTGGAGAAGAGAACTAATGATTTTTGTTTACTGTTAATACTAAAACAAGTGAACAGAGATAAATTGCAACTTGATATAGGAAAACTATTTAAAGTAGGCTGACAGCAAGGCTAGCAAAATCAATAAGACTTGTGCATAAATGGGAAAACGTGTTGATCGATTAACTTTATCATGACGTCACAGGAAGACCTCTGTCATAATCCTTTGTATTACAGGAGTAAACTGAGTATAGTGATTATGCCTAATAATTTCAGCCTGAAGTGTCATTTGTACTGTTTTCTTTTTATGTAGTTATGTTACAGTAACCAGCTTAAATACACAATCAGCTGTGAAGATTTACAGACGATTTTTTAAAAGGTGTTTTTATTAAATTTGCTTAATGAGTAATTTTCTGCTCTCTCTCTATATGTGTGTGTGATAAAAAAGAGAAAAGGATGTAGCAAATGCTGATCGTGTAGAACATAGATGGCATAATGAAGAGGAAGAATTTTGATTGTATAGTATGCTAATATGCTGAGTTTGTAATATTTAAGAAACTTGGCAGTCAAGGCGGACTAATTTTCATTTTTATTTAAATTAACATTTGTGTTCACAATTCACTTGGCATTCTAATCGTGCCTATTTCCAAAACATTTACATTTTTGATACCAATGCATTAGGAAGAGAGATAGCATCCAAGTAACACAGAGGTTCAAGCTAAAAGTGTGCATTTATTCAATATGGCAGTCTGTTAACAGAAAGGTTTTATTTACATTAGACAGGTTTCAGTTCTAGGAATTTAGGTTCCGAAATAACTATGCCATGAGCATTTTGCAAGCTCTATAGCATATATTTATTTAGAAATGACACAGTATACACACAAGAAACATACTTAAATTTTTTCATATCAGATTTCTGTTCACAAAAATTAATATAACTGTTATATTAGAAAATACAGTGAACCCTTTTTTTAGGCAACATCCACCATTCAAAATAATCTCGTCTCCTGTGGAGATGACTATCGTACCAAGATCATGTGCAATATTGATACTTATACATGTTCTAAAAAATAACAGATATGATCACTATCAAAACATTCACTGTATACATTCCATACAATGTTGTCATTCATTCAGTTTATGTGTAATAAATTTCATGTCACTCTGTTAACTAAATTTTCTATACCTTATTTTAAAATGAATTTTGAAAATGTTTTTACTTTGTTTTAGGGATAATGTGCTGAAATGTTTATTTGGAAAAAGTTCTGTTACATCGTGACAGCTGAATGTATTGAGTTTGCATATTTGTGAATAAAACAGATTTCTGTATATAAAGGTAATTTCATTATTGATTTGATGATATAATTAGATTATTTTGTAATATTCACTCACATTCCTGTTTATGAAATAAACTTAAGTGGGTGTGATCACTAGCTTAAAAATTCAGAAAATTTCTACAATTCGGCTTAATTAAAACTTGTATCTATTGTGAATAAGTAATAAAACTTAGACCTCAAGAAAGCTGAAACATCCAAAAATGTTTGCTTTTATACATTAATCTAGCTATATATATGTTGATTTTAGCCCCAGAGAAAAGTTTTCGAAATGCAAAGAAAAAGAAATAAATGGGAGTTAGCTTTGTACTTCCTTTAAAAAAAAAAAGAGAAATGTTTATCTAGAGTTATTTAGGTTTACATAAAATTAATATCATGCTTTTACGATCTTTCTTGTTCATTTGTTGATGCTAAATCACATTTGACGACAGAGTCCTATTCTTACTTTATAATAGCTTTACATGTCTCTCATTTGTTAATTTTTATTTTGGAGAGGGGGGTGTAAAATATTAGTTAGTTGAATGCTGGATTTTCAGATTTTTGCTGTAATTTATACAAAAATTAGTTATATCCAGAGCTTATATACTTAATTAAATGATATTTTATGAAAGAAATGATAAGCTTTGACTCAAGTTTATATGTATTTTTACAAATATATAATTTATTAATATTGTTTCAAAAGAATAAATAGTAAAGTGAAATTAAATTTAAATAATTCTCTTGCATCATTGCTGCAAGAAATGAAATTTGAATTTAACAAACATTCTCTATTCATAAAAAGCAAATTTGAAGTGAATTAAGATTAATTAAATTTTAAATAATGAAATTTAATTGCAAACAAATAAATGATTAATTATTGCTGCGAACTAATCTACAATATCATTTAAATTCTGAGAGCACATATAAATTCAGTGCAAGTATCAAAATCCATGAATAAATATATAATTCCAAAAAATTTTAATCCTAAAAAATTTATAAAAATGCATAAGTGAATAATTGTTGAGCAGGCTAGAGACAGATTTATCAAGGGAAAGTTGCCTCCAAACCTAACTCTTCAATTATTCAATTTGTGTTTCGTCATCCATGTAGGTAAATGGGTAAAAGTCAAAACCAAATGTTGTGAATTACTAAAAAGAAATTTAAACAAGTGGAATTTTGAGAAATAAGCAAGTAAATGACTAGAATTAAAATTAAAAAAAATCAATTAAGAGTAGAAAACCAAAGTAATTTGGAAACTCTTGCCTACAGGAAACTTCCTCGACACGAATTATGCATATAAATCAAAAAGAAACTAGATATTATCTAAAAAATACATAAATAATGCTAAAATACTAAAAAGGCAAGTAAATAGTAAGTTTTAATTTAACTTAGTAACTATATTTGTATTTGGAGAGTGGAGCAGCATTTGCCAAACTAAGTGATGTTAAGTAGTGTGTTTCTCCTAATTTTATAATTAGAGGGTGCTAATATAAGGTTAAGTTGAGGGTTAAGCTGCTATCTGTTAGATCTATTTTAAAAACCTATTCTGTAAACTTTTAAGTAGTGTAAAATGTGTGTTCTGTTGCAAAAATGTTACTAACTGTGAAGTATTGTAAAAATGTGTAAAAATCGTAACTGTAACATTATGTGAAAAAATGGTTGCAAACTATTAAGGATTGTAAAAATCGAAAATGTTTTTGAAATAAAGTACGGAAAAATTTTTTGAAGTAAAATTAAACAAATTTTAATTTTGAAATTTTTTTTAATGTTTTTAAAGTGAGAAATTTATTGTAATAGTATTAATTTATTAAAACTGAATTTCAACAGGTTTAATCAAAACTTTACTGAATACTGGCCAAAAGTAAGGAAAACTAGAAAAAGATAAAGATCTTCACTCAATTTGGGCTATAATTGAGTTTTTTGAAAAGAGTTGGCCCTTCATTAGTAAAAGGAAGGAATCCAGTATTGATTAAATATACATTTTTATAAATTAATATTTACGTGATACTCCTTTAATTCTTCAAAATCCTCCATTACTCTTCAGTTAAGGTTTAAGGTAATGTTATCATATCATAAAGAGTAAAAAAATTACATGGAAAAGTTAATGCCTGCCTTTTTAATACATAAATTAATGAATTGTGTTGGGACTTCGTTATTAACTTGAACATTAATTAGCTTTATTATTTCTTTCTTTAAATCTTCTATTTCAGTACATATATTTTTTATTCTGATTATTTGGCTATAAAAAGTATTACCTATTACTTTTCTAGAGATATTAGATTTCCATTTAATTAGTTTAATATTATTAAACTGGAAATTCTTCCTTTTATCATATAATTTAATTTTGCTGTGTTTAATAATGTATTCAATAGTATCTTAATTCGTATTAGTTTTATTAAACTGCTTGCTCCTTTGGTAATCCTCTCACCTGCTGAAAGATCTTATTATTGAATTTAATGCAGTTATTAAATAATGCACAATTCAGGTAAGTTTTCCATTTTTCAATTGAAAGGATGTTAAGCATGTCAGGAAAAAGTTGTGTGAGTTGCATTAAACTAGTAAATATTTCTTCTAATGGTAGAGAAGTATAAAGATTTTTCAAAGTTATAGCAGTTAATGTTATTGATTTCTAAACTTTTAAATGTGTTGAGAACTGGAGCATTATTATAAATAATCCAACTATAGTTGTGTTGCTTGTTAACTAGTTGATGAATTAAAATACAGATTTTTTTTAAAGTTTAATTGCAAATATATAATCTATATTCTTTTTATAATTATTTGTACCATTTGCTATAAATCTAAATTTGAGTGGTAATTTATGGAATTTAGGAAGAGCATATAGATTTGCTAATCTATTGTAGTTAGATAGCTGTGAAATTTGTAGTTTCTTATGAATTGCTTTTAGCTTTTTTGCAATGACATTTTCTTGTGTATTGGTAAGTTTGTAAGTAATGGCATTATTCAGTTTAATATTAATTAGTGAGACATAAAATAGTTTTCAAATAATGCTGAAATTATTACTGGCTTTGTCAATTTTGGTTATTATGAATTTTTGTTTCAAATCTTGCAAAAGAGGACTGAGAAAATTCCATGGTAAATTGCTGTTGAATTCAATCCTTCGAATTCTTTGCTTCAATTCTTCTAACACTTAATGTTTCTAAGCCATAAAGGTTATAACTAGTTTTAACTATGAACTCGTCTAGATTTTTTTTTAAACTTTTAAAACTGTGATTTTTGCCAATTTTCAGTACTGGTCTAAATTTGGTGCCTTTTTCCATTAAATTTCTTAAAAGCTGGTTTTTAACTATTGTTAAATTGTCAGTAACAATATGTTTATGAAATTCGTCTATGTAGTCTTTGTATTGAAGCTCTTTGCAGTATCAGTGGGCTGTAGAAGCTAGATCATGGTGGTTAATTAGAAATTTGCTAAGAGGTTTTTGATACTTGAAAGCTGGTGAGATTTGTACTTTAGAAGCTGGAAATTGTTGTTGACATTTTCTGAAAATTTTGCTGAACTGAATATTGTCATAGTTTGGATGTAGGAAGTTGATTTTGCAGTAATATTTATTCTACTTGGTATTGGTAGAGAATTTTAAATTGCAAAAATCTATAACAAGGTCTTTGATAATATTGTGTAAAATGCTGTTTAGCAAATTTTATAAGTATCATTAAGAATTTGTGCTTACAAGTATGCAACCAAGTAATGATATTTTTGGTGAAATTTTCAGTAAGAAAGTAATAATTAATATTATCGTTTGACTTTATTTATTGTCGAAAAAAATTAATTTTTCTGTCTATTACCTGCTCTGGTTCTTCGTAATGTTTTTTTACTGAATAATTTAAAATGGCTGTAAGTTGAAATTTCAGAATTAATTTAATGTATTGGTTGAATGTATTTAGTCCATATGGGTAAAATCTTTTGAATTTAAGCATGTAGAGTGACTCTTGAAGTAATCTTTCTTTGTATTCAGGCACAATGTCCAAAATTTGAATACTAATTTTGCTGAAATCATGTATTTGAAAATGTTCTAATTCTGCTGTATTAGGCGAGTTAGAATTAGTAGCAGTGAATTTTTTAGTATGTGCTCTGTGGTTGTTAATTCTAATATTAAGACTATTTTCGGTTTGTCCTGCATATTTAAGGTTGCAAATGTTACAAGAGATAAGATAAATGCAATTATATGTTTTTCAAAAGGGGAGTTGGTTTTGGCTTTTACCCTTGCCTACGTGGATGATGAAACACGAATTGAATAATTGAAGAGTTAGGTTTGGAGGCAACTTCACCTTGATAAGTGTTTCCAGCCTGCCTAACAATTATTCACTTATGCATTTTTATAAATTTTTTAGGATTAAAAATTTTGGGGAATTATATATTTATATGAAAAGAATTTATCTTCTAATTGCGAACACAAATTTCAGTTGTTTTAAGAGCGACATTTAGTTAAAATCAGTAATGAGTTTGGCAATCTTGCTTCATCAAATTAAAACAATAATAATAATAATTATACTTCTCTCCTACAGAATATTTCAAGAAAACAAGACTATTTACACCAGAGTTTGTACAATCCGAAAAAGTACTTATTTTTGCCCAAAAATCAGTAAAAATCTCAAAAATTACGCAAAATACTGATTTTTGAATAGGTAGATGTTAGCTAAATATCGATTTTCGCATAGGGCGACTCTTAGATGAATTAACTTCATATACCCAGAAAGTTAAGTCTCGATTTGCTTCTAGAAGATCGAAAAGAGATGTCTTATTTATCACAGCCGACAATTAGCGATGCGATTCCAATTTTTGTACTGAAAAACGTGATAAAATTGCTATTTTTTTTTTACGAAAAGATAGCAATAAAGCACCAAGATTTGCACTGCAAGACTAGCGAAGATAATGATTTTTTAAAAAGAAGATTGGAATTAAAATTTTATTTTTTTACTGGTAGTTCTTGGTAAAATTTCGACTTTCTTCCTGACTAGTGCAGAATAATGAAAGAATTAAAAATGCAAACACTATAAGCATAAAAA